TCTGATGACAATCAGCTGCAGAATAAGGGACAGGACTGAGTCCCCTCTGGGGCAGTCAGAGGCAGAGGGTCAGCAGCACAGGCAGCTCCCAGGGGTGGTTGCTCTAAACCCCTGCTCCAGATGGCTAGCTGGGCACCCCGCACACCTTGCGGGTCACCAGTCCCGCTCCAAGCACCAGCCTGCGCCCCAAGCTCCCAGGGACCCATGTCCTGGCGATCTGCTGCTCCTCAGGATCCCAGTGCCTTGCCTGCTGCTGTCCCGCTTCCCCAGGGAAGGTGAGGGGTTTCCTCAACTCATCAGCCCAGGTCCCTGCTCCGGATAAGGATGCCGCCTGGGCTCCTAGCCGCTGTCTCTTCTCCGCAGCGGAGTGGGGGGCTGACTGCCACCCCTAGTCTCCAGGACGCCTGACACGTCCAACACACTGCAATGGGGCCTTGGGGCACCAGCTCTCTGCCCCAAGCCCTGGCCACGACTCCCACTCTGCTCCAGGCCTGGAGGCATGGCCGACTGCCACTGCCTTCTTCTCCCAGGTCCTTCGAGGCTCTCCAGAGGGTCTCTCACCCAGCTCTCCTTAGGCCTCCTGCCTTGTTCTCTGGAGTCACTGTCAGCAGCCCCCGCCAGTTCAGCTGCTGCTTTTATCCCCTCCGGCAGTCCCTCCCTGGCTTGCAAACCGGCCAACCAGGGCTCAGGGTGGCTGGCCCCCAACCCCGGCCATCCCCCTTCCCTGTGAATGAGGGGATTGAAAACTCTTTCTTTCCATTGGCTTCTCCTTTTCCACAGGGCAGGGCTCCCCTGCTCCACCCTTGGGGGTCAATCAGAGTTCACCGGCACTGTCTCTAGCCCAGCGTAAGTATCTCAAGCCAATCTGGTGAGCCCACACTGGCAGTCTGTTACTCAGAGAGGGGCATGTAAAAGCAAGCTATTGACATGGGGTTAATGCCATTGGACTTTAAAAGGTAATTATGAAAATTTCTCTAAAGGTTTAACTAGGTGTTTCATAGTTTCATAGTAGCTAGGGTCAGGAGGGACCTGAACAGATCATGTAGCCTGACCCCCTGCCACAGGCAGGAATGAAAGCTGGGTTCACAAGACCCCAGACAGGTGATCATCCAACCTCCTCTTGAATTTGCCCAGGATAGGGGTGAGGACCACTCCCCTGGGAAGTTGGTTCCCGATTTTGGCCACCCTAACTTGAAAATATTGCCTCCTGATCTCTAACCTAAACCTATTCTCCATCACCTTATTACCTCTGTTCCTCATCACCCCAGGTGGTGCTGGGGAGAAAAGGGCTCTACCTATTTGCTGTTGATCTCACCTGATGAGTTTGTAGGCAGCCACCAGGTCCCCCCTCAGCCTCCTCTTGCTGAGGCTGAACAGGTTCAGGTCCCTCAGTCTCTCCTCATAGCGCCTGTCCTGCTGCCCTCTCACCAAGCGGGTGGCCCTCCTCTGAACTCTCTCCAGGCTGGCCACATCCTTTTTAAAGTGTGGCACCCAGTACTGGACGCAGTACTCCAATTGCAGCCTGACCAAAGTCGCATAGAGGGGGAGTATCACCTCTCTGGACCGGCCTGAGATGCACCTTTGGATGCATGACAAGGTATGGCTGGTCTTGCTGGCTGCGGTCTGGCATTGGCGGCTCATGTTCACCTTGGAGTCAATAATGACTCCAAGATCCCTTTCCGCCTCTGTGCTTTCAAGAGGGGAACTCCCCAGCCTGTATGTATGCTGTGGATTCCTTCTCCCAAGGTGCAGCACCCTGCATTTATCTATGTTGAACCCCATCCTATTCTCATCTGCCCGCTGTTGCAGTCTGTCTAAATCTAGCTGCAGCCTCTCTCTCCCTTCAAATGTGCCCATCTCGCCCCACATCTTAGTGTCATCAGCAAACTTGGACAGCGTGCTTTCCACCCCCTCATCCAAGTCACTGATGAAGATGTTAAACAGTGCGAGCCTGAGGACCAAGTCCTGGGGTACCCCACTGCTCACATCTCGCCAGGTTGAGTACAACCCATACACCACTACTCTCTGGGTGCGCTCCAGCAGCCAATTTTTTACCCATCCAACTGTGTAGGCATCAATGCCACAGTCGCCTAATTTATTGATGAGAATGGGGTGAGAGACAGTTTGGACCAGCAAGTTTGCTTACTCATTATATTTCCTGAATGAGTAGAGCAAACTACAGGATCTGATGGGTGATGAGATCAGCAGTGTAACTAAATATTTGTTTTTCTCTTGGAACAAGCATAGTTCATGACAGAGAGATTAAGTGTAGCCAAAATTAAATGTTGTCACTTCAAAATTAAA